ACCGGAATGCCTTCACATCGCAAAATGATACCAAGGTTGGATCTTGCTAATAACTTTTCTAAGTGTTGTGAAGAACTGAAATCACTTTTATTCCCAGGCAGGCTGCAGGGATGGGGAGAAAGGGTGGCTATTTTTATAGTCATTAAGAGCAATTGGTTAAGTGAGTAGAAGCCGCACCAGAAACAAAAAAAAAAGGTCACAGTTTTTCATGCAAGCTGGCAGGCGTGATCCACATTTCCATCAAACATCTCTGCACTCCTTCCTATGGGTTCAAAATGCTATGTACCTAAAGAGGTATTGGTCATATTATGTCCACAGCTATAGGGATCAGAGTGACTCGACCCTGCTTTCACATGCATAGTAACATGGAAATCCACAGCTTCAACAGCTTTAAAACAGATCAGCAGGAGCCACGCAGTCTGCAAAGTTAGTGTTTCCCAATAAAAAAGCATGACATCAATCTGATGAGCAGGCATCAAATTCCTAAATACTACGTTTTAAGTATTACATGGCTAAGATGCCTGCTTTCCAGTGGTTGGGTCAATAAAAGTTCATTATGAATTATCTAAAACTAGCAGAAACAAACACATTTCATCTTGCAGCTTTTTCAGTGTTTTTCAAAATCTGGACTACACATACTCAGCTGGGAGATGCACCAATACAAGATGCAAATGAAACTTTTAAAGTTAGCAACTGCTCAGTAAAAGAAATTGCTTCCAAATACAGCCCAAGGTATCTTGCAATCCCAGTAAGCTGGAACCCAATTCATGACAAAGTTGTAGCAGCTGAAAGGAACAGCAACACTTCCAAAGTCACTGCCAAAGGTGGATGTTTCACAGCACCAGGGAGATTCTGCTTTATACTTGCACTGGCTTCAACAAGATTCACGCAGTCCCATAACAGATGCGAATTTACTAACACCTCTATAGTATCAGATTGCTTATGCTCAGTGGGTTTACATTTCAGAATTAATCATAACAAAAAGGCATCTTCTGCACCATAACTCTGTTATATGAGTAATCTTTCTTTTTGTTATAATTTTAGAAGAAAAAGCAGACAGCCAAACACAAACACAGGAATTCAGGTGGCTGCAGTCACTCAGCGTGATGTGCGATTGATCAGCGGGAAGGGGATGATTTCAATGCTTCCAGTTCTTCACATCTAAACAAATTTAAAATTGGGTTATTCTCTTTGATAAACAGAGAGCAACACTTTTTGAAAAAAAAACAAAAAACAAAAACAAACATGTATAAGACAAAAAAAAATTATACTATGGGACAAAAAAAAAATCATACTGAAATACTTCCTGGAACTGCATTTCTTGCCTTTTAGGGTTTGAAGTACGCCTGCTAAGAAAGAACTTTTTTCATGAATTTCCAAAACAATGTTAAAAGAGTTATCTTGGCAGAGAGAAGAAACATGACATCAGCTGTAAAGACACAACCAAGATAAGAAAGAAGCTGCCTGGAAATTTAGACAATAATTGCACGTTTTAGTTACAATAGAAGTTACCAATATTTTACCACGTGTCAATCAGCTGAAGAGTGATCTACGCAAGAACATAAGTCTCTCCCTGGCTTGCAATCAAAAGAGGAGGAATAATGAAAAAACAGAATGGTCCAAGCTATTAAAAAGGCATATGCGGAGAAAATCACAATGCTGTTAAACGTCACATGTAGAGAACTCTGAAGATGTCAGTTAGCTGCCATCATCTGTATGCTGTACCCCCGAGTTTTGCTTAGGCTCAGCTGTTCTAATATATTCTGTGCATCCTACCTGTAAAGGAGTCCGATACAGCCATTTTTCTTTATCTCCATTGAGTTTCATACAGGCAAAAAGGTCGCAAACTGTAGGAAGGCCAAAGTCCTGAAAGAGAAGTCACCTTAATTACTGATCTCCAAACATAAATACATTCTGATGCATCTTCAACTTCTGTAAAGTGTTCACAAAGAAAATAAAACTGACTTCTGAGTCTTGGGGATGAATACTTTCTTCGTTTTAGCACACCTAACTGTACTTCAAAATTAACTTGTTTTGTGTTAAGTGGATGAGGCCAGCGTTTAAGTAACTTAGTAATAATCACTGAAAACATTAAAAGTGCTAAGAAACCTAAAAATTGTCAGTCAGTATCATCCAGAAGAGCTATGAGTTTGGAAGAGAAGGCAGGCATTAAATTCAGTAAAACAATAAACCCAGAACATTGGCTTAAGAACACAGCAGTAACTTAGGAGCATGCTCACCTGTGCTTTCTTGCGTAGAAGCCATTTATCTTCTGCTGGAGGCGGGTTAGCATTTTCTAGATTGTTTGAAGTCAACACCCAACTGTTTACATTCAAAGGGAGGTGGAATGGAGCCAAGAGGTCTAGGAAAGGACTCTTGAAATTATTATCTGCTTTCTCCCTACTCGCCTTCTCTTCTGCGCTTTCTGCCGTGTGCTCAGACTTGGCTAGCCAGCTCGTCAGGGGCCTTTCCAGCAATACTTTCAAGGGTTCTGCGATCTCTGCTGAATAATCCGCTTTCTCTGAACTAACAGGTTCCCCTGTGAGCTGCTGTGTGGGGTTAAGCCAGGTACTGGCAACAGACTTTGTCTTCTCGTGCTCAGGGTTTGGTACATCTTTCTGGCTGACTCCATTTTTATCCTTCCCTTCTTTCTTCAGAAGCCATTTACACAGAGCCTCTTTTCCACAGTTTTCATCACACACACACTCAGAAAAGCTGGCACACAGCTCATTAGCTTTGCACACATCTTCCACCTTAAATGGGGCCTGGGGATGCTGAAGAAGCCAAGCATTTACAGCAGATGTAGTGGGTGATTTCTTTCCATCAAGATGCTCATTCAGGCACTTCAGATTTCCCAGGTTCTCAATTTCCACACTTTTGATCTGGCTGCCACGACAACTGGTACACGTTTCAGCTTTGAGGAGCCAATCATTCAAATTAAATTCTTCCCTAAAAGGTTTAAATTCATACTTCCATTTCTCGTCTGAAGCACCACTGCCATTTTTTGTGTCAGGAGTAAGCAGCCAGTCAGAAAGGTCCATCTCTTCTTGTCCAAGGGATTCCAATTCCTCCAGCTTTTCAATAGTGGAAAAGGATGAGCTGAAAGTAGAGGTGGAGTCCTTGCGTCCAGGGGAGTCTGTCTTCCCAGCAACATTACGCTGTTGATTCTGTAGGAGCCAGTTTTCCAAATCTTTCAGATTTCCCCAGGCTTGCTCAAAGTAACAGACTTTGGAAGAATTTAAATCCTAGTAAAGACACATTTAAATGCATCTATTAACACTAAAAGACAATGTTCAGTAACTGCTTGCACGGTTACAGCTTGGCACATTCTGAGAGTAAGTGCAAAAGTATTAGTTGAAGAGAATTACAGAAGGTTTAATTCCCACCATATTCTGCCTGCAATCGGATACTGCGCTTTCCCCTTTGTTAAAAACTAGGTTAGTGCATAAAAGGCTTACCTGGCTGGGCTCTGACACACATTTTTGTGTAACCCATTCTTCAAGATTGGTGCTGGGAACATACGGAGCCTGGCAAGCACCCACAGGTCTGCTTCCAAGTAACCAGTCAGCAAGCGAGTCACTCACTGTCCCACACAATGTTTTCTGCTGAGAAAGAATGTTCTTAGTTATGAGAAAGTCTAATTGCTGAGGTAATCTATGGTGAACATCAAAACAAGCATTCAACATGCATCAGTATTTCTGAACCAAAAGAAAAACCAGTCCCTTCTAATTAAGCAAAAAGTAAATCTTCTATCACCTGTATGACTGTAAGCCACTGCAATAGATTGTTTTGTGATCCCAGATTCTTCAAAGGGCAAATGACAAGAAAGGGACATTTCTACAGCGCACAGTTCTGATACGTGTAACCCAACCATAACCCTTCCACAATTCCCATTACTAATTTGCTACCTCCTTCACTGACGCTGTTTCTGTGCAGAGCCCAACAGAAGATTTCCCATTAATTTCTGTATTGAAAGGAACCAGCTAGTTTAAGTCCTAACTTGACAACATCAAGAAATATTCAATTAAAAATTTCTAACTGACAGTCACACTCCAAATTCACTTTCATACTCTGTTCTTGCACATCTGTTCCTGGAGCAGCTAAAACATCAATCAGTAATGCTCAGCACAGCGACCAATAGACTACTCAAACATCTTAACAAACAAACAGAAGTCATTACTCAAGCAAGCTAATGTATTGTGCTTGAGTTCTCCTTTTCCCTTTAATACAATTAAACATTCACAGATACAAGCCTTAATTTTACCTGCTCACAGTTCATTAGGGCACAGTTCTGCCCTGGGAACCAGGGAGAAGTATTCTCTCTCTCTGAGGTTTGCTGTAAGGAAAGAAAAGTGAGAGGTAATTTAAAATCTCAATTTTGTCCAGTTTCTAGGATGAATTCTGCTATAAAGTAGAAGTAAAACCAGTTACAACTGGTCAGTTCTTTGTGGCTAACAATTTTCTCAACATTTGAAAACAGAATGGAGAACGAGTTACTACAAAAATACTACCTTCAGTCCACTTCCTTTAAGGAAATTAACTACAATAATACAGGAGATATGCTGCTTACATAAGAATCCCAGAATATTTGTATCACAGAAAGCCATCTACGATGTATAACTCTTAATATTTAAAGAAAACCATAATGTTAATTTTCAGTTGCTGGAATAGAGTAAGAATATAACCATCATTCCCTCAGTCTTGGCCAAAATACATTAAAACAACATGTACATTACTAGATCTGAGCTCACTCAAAATCAGAGCTACATGCAATAGTTAATAAACCACTGTGTGTACATTATACAGCTAAAACTATATGACCTGTACACAAGATCACTGAAGCTATAACTAAAAGTAGAAATATCACTTGGAATATATCACACTACTGCCTCAAAAAAAAAGTTGTTGTGTTTTTTTTTTTTTCCCCCAAATATTCCAACGCAGGCAAGTCTTGGTGCTTACCATCGTTTTAATTGAACCAAATGAGGTAATAGCCTGGCGAAGGTTAGATGTGTCAGCCTCAAAATTCAGGATGGAAGACTCCTCTGGTTTAAGAGTAAGACTTTCCAGTCTGAAACAGTAAAATAATAATTATAAAAAGAAGAAAAAAAAATTACAATCTTCATCTGGCTTGGCACTAATTAGGTAACAGAAGAAGTTTTAATACTTGCATAAAAATAAAGAGATGCCTATCCACAAACCAAGAACAGAATAAATAGCCAGCAAAACACAATGTTCTTCTTATTACCTCATCTGCCATCAACAACTGTATTTGAAATACTCTGCGCAAATGAGTACCTCCACTGCTCACTATAGTCCTGTATTTTCAATCCAAGATAAAAATAAATGAGAAGAATCGTATCTCAGACTGCTTTAAAGATCTTATTTCTAGGAACCATTAAAAATGTGGAAACAGTGAGTTAGATCTATTATTAGTTCTATTAGAATCAAAAATCAGATTAAATTCATAAGTCAAAATAAATACCAATTGTGTTAACTTGCATATTAGACTATATTTACCTCTCCAGGCAAACTGAAATCTGTTTTGCTAGCTCGTTACTGTAGGAGCGTTCCAGCTGATGAATAAGGCAATTGAATTGTCCCAAATACTGCAGGGAAGACAAAATACATGCTATTGTTTCAGCTTCTAAGATTAAAATAGAGAAAACACTTGCAAGGACAAAGTTTACATGAAGGTGCCGGTGGAACAATTTACAACCAAATCGTACCCAATAGAGCTGCTGCGCCTGCTGCTGCAACGCCTCCTCTTTCAGCTGCTGGATGAGATCTACCTGCTCAAACAGCCAAACTTCCCGACTGCGCAGGCATTCCAGGTGGCGGCTTATGTGGCTGTGAATCTTGGCTTTTACCTGTAAGGTAACATGTACCATTTCTAGAACAGCTGTCAAAGAGTACAAACAAGCCTATGCTGCGCCAATTACAAAATAGTATTTGTCACAGATAAGTGGCATTTTCGGAGTAATTTATTTCTCAAACACAAACCACAGTCAACCACAGCACCATGTGACTCAAGTTAGTAAACGTTCCAAGGCTACTTTTAAAGAAGTATCAAAGAACAATGGTATTTTCAGTATCTCTTGATTCTGATGTTTCAACCAACAGCTTTAGTAAATTCTGCGGCCTAAGCTAGTAATACAGGAATACCTTTACCAAGAGCATGACCAAATTATACAAGATGCTTGCAAGTCTCTAAGAAAATTTCAGACCATCATCATAATAGAAAGTACTCTGAAGTAATAAAAACTGTCAAAGTCATGTTAGTTATTAAAACATTTTAAAAAATAGTTTAAAATTACCTCCCGCCAGTTCTCTTTAATCTGTTGTTCAGCTTTGACAATTCCAGATATAGCTGTTTCCAAGTCCTTCTTTGCTTGAAGGCACTTTGCCAGAGGCTCACTGCTGCAGGAATTTCTACTTCTCTCTTGTGGTGGACTCATTCTTGAAGTGTTCCTAAAACACAATGAAAAAAAATTTCTTAAGTGTTTCTATTCCCCTTTAACAGAAGAGGAAGACCATCGTACCAAAAACCATCTGCTCTACTTCACTACAAAGGTGAACAAAAAATCCCACCCCCCTCAGACCCTGCACCAATGCAGTTTTCTAAACATAGATAAAGCTTTCTCAAGGAGCAACAATGGTCTCCCAAACACCTCAGTCCACAGAATTTGCACAATCACAGGAAAACCAATAGATACTTGACAACAGCTTCAACGGCAGGAGCTTAGGCAATCCTCCCCTACCATTCACCTTCCTCTGGCTTTTATGTCTACAGGGCTAATTCAGGCAAGGTTCACTAGCTCTGCCGGAGCTGGGGGAGAATGGCCAGGCACGGGGCAGGAACTGTTGTGGTCACCCTTTTATCAGCTGCAGGCAAATGAACTGGCTCCCATAAATGAGAAAACTCTAATACAGTTTGATCAACTGAAAAACCAAGTGTTGATACACAGATCCCTCTCTACTAAGCTGCAAAGGCCAAAACTTATAGCAGCTGCCCATTATTTTTGTTGTGGTCACAGCCTTGGTAACTTACTTAGCTCCAGCATATCCTCAAGTAAAACGGGCTCAGAAACAAAGTTTCTACAAAGTTACACTGATAAGGATTCTGCAAGTCAGGGGAAAAAGCTAAATATGGATTTTTTACCTTTTAAATAAGGTATCTTGTTAACAGAGAGTTTCAATTCTCCTGTTAGTTTCATGGGATTCCTGAAGCACTAACTAAAGATTCATAGTAAACATCCTATTTAAAGCAAGTGTTCAGCTATGAAAGCTATGGAAATTCCCAGCAGCATTAATTAAAGTGTACACATGTACAAATCTCAATATTTCACAGATTTTAGCACTCCTCTGGAGGGAACCGAAAAGAGTATTTTGAGTACGACTACTGCAGAGCTTGTATTACTGAGCAGCTATTTACCCTACAATTTCCAAGCCCCATGACCATAGTAAACTGCAACTCAAAAAATCCTTCTGCAGCCAAGACCCACCAGATACATATAAGCCGTGTATTTCAGAGAGCAGAGGGATAGGAGTGGTTTGCAAATGAAAGCTGACAGAAAAAGCAAGGCTTGCTCTAAGGCAGTGGCAGAGGCTGCATCTCCCTTGGTTTCCTCCACACCGTGAGCTTCCCAGGTGCCCCCAGCTGTGAGGCACAGAGCAGGCACAGAAGCCACACCAGCTCAACCCCATCCTCACCATAGCATCTCATCTTCTAGGAAGCACAGAGCACAACTACAAGAGAAGTAAACTTTAATTTATTTTTTAAGCTTACATTAGTTCTACACCAAATTAAACAGGGTAGAGAAGTCCAAAATACATCATTCTCCATTCTGTGCTGCGAATGCCAGTTTTGTCCTCTTATTTGCATGCTCTAATTCATTCAATTCTGTACAGTTTCATGACCTTCACCTTGCTAGCAATGTTCAATAAAAGGGAAACTTTCTCTTCACAACACCCCTTTTAAATTTATCTTGCTTGTCAAGTCTCTCATGTCCAACCTACAGGAACATGTAAGCGGGAATCCTAGCCCTCGGATGTAATCTAAAACATGCAAAGGCATGGTAAAAACGCAAAGGCAGAGATATACCCAGCCAAGAAAACAAGGACGTTAGAGATATTAAAAGCTGTCATTTACTCAAAAGTAAACAAACAAAAAAATCATATTGTCCATTATTATTTCATTTATCATACTCTTATGTAACAAACGAGTCAAAGTCTGAACGGCTAAATGTAATCGCCATGTTTGCTCACACAGCAGAGAATGTACTTAAAAGAGTTCTGTGAAAATTATGTTAAACTGTGTATCTACAAATACCAAGTCCAAAGTATGCTGCATTGCCATTTATGTGTTTTCTGAATTTATGCCACCAGGGAATTGGGCTCAATGCCTGAAAAAATGCTACTTTTTCACACTTTGCATTAGCAACTTCATACTGGGACAGTCAAATTTAAGAAACTTACACATACTCCTTGAATGAGCTTTGAAAATACCTGTGTTTGTTGCTTTTCTGGTTTTTCATTTGATTGCAAGAGTATCTCTCCAAAATATATACAGAGAGGAATGAATGCTGCTTTCCTCCAGCCAGCCAGCTCTTGTAAAATGGCTGTTCTTATGCTTTGTCAAGAATTAGCCAATAAAACTAACATTACAGTAGAGGATGGGAGTCAACCCACCCTTCACAATTTCTGCAAGCCTCTAACAAAAAAACAAGTGGGGGTAACCACCTATTTCCTTGCTTCCCAATTATCACCAAACTGCACTAGGAGTTAAAGCCATTTTCAGCTCCCATGCTCTGAAATACCCGAGATCAGACACTTGGGCTCAAAAGTAACAAAATACGGTTACTTCTGCAACAGGATACACAGTTGCAATACAGAGTTAAATAGGAATTTTTGGCGATTTGCAGGTCACGGAACCACTTCCAAGCACAGGGAGGTATCCCACCGGGGGCATGCTGCCTCACGGGATATGCCCCCGAGCCCCACCAGCTGAACTTGCACTTACTTTCCGGGCGAAGGACGCAATTCAGCAGCGCTCTGCTTCATAAAGCCGCTTCCATTTTCAACCTCCCATCCCGCAGAAGCACGGACTCCAAACTTGCTTTTGAATAGCCGCACGCAACTTGTTTTCGGCCCCGCTGGCAAACCCCGTTCCGAACGCTCGCTGGCCGCGCGGCCGCGATCCCACCCAGCTCAAAGAGGGGGAAAAGCCGGCGCTCCCCGCAGCCCCGCCCGCCCGTTATCGGGGCGGCTCCGGCACCGCCCCG